GACTTTTAATTTATGCAGGGTGCGACAGGCATTTGAGAACAAATTTTAATTTGCTGTAACCATATTATTTAATCGAGAAAACGATATTTTTTACGTAATTCAGGGCACATTTATACATACACAAAACCTAAATCTATCCATTATAACCAACTACATCCACATCCTGGCTAGAACAATGGACTGCATCCAGCGACGGGGCCTCTGATCGGGTGGTTTTGAGAAGCATAGAGCCGACTCTTGATTGCCAGTGTTCCCAGATCCGCCCTGGCCCGGGGTGGTGGCACCTGTTCGAGTCCCAGCTATGGGCATGTGTTTGACCTCCGGACTGAGGTCGAAACGCTTTGAAAGTGTAAAAATAGGTTTTAATACTAGCAATTGTTTTTGGAGAGTGGGGGATTGCCAACAATGGATTTTTGAAGAAAAGATATTTACCAGTATCTGTCTATATTTCTGAGATGAGGTATTATGTACACTATTTACATTATTCGGACTATTGTCCACATCTTTGTCGCCATAATTATCGCGACTTTTCGGCTGTTGTACGCTCCGGCCTTCTTCGGGTGGTTGGAATGTCAAACTGAGCCCTTTATTTCGCTCACTGGGGTAGACTGTTCTAGTTCCAGGTGCCATGTTTAATGGATGTCAGTTATCTCCTGTTAATTCTCCTCTCCAAGTTCTCCACTGCCTTCACCAAGTATTGAACTCAAACTCTTTGGGTCTTGTCACTGGATCTAACTAACGCCTTTATCCACTGTGCCATGTGTCTTTGAGGACTTCTGTGTATGAATTTCTGGGTATTCTTATAAACCTAATATCTTCAGCAACCACTTTTTACTAGAGCTCATATTGCAATTTTTGTTGTTATTATCGCTTTTCTCTGGCATTCCTTAATTACTGGTTCCCATATTGTATTCATTTCTATGCTTGGTCAGCTCAGGAAATAAAGGGTTCAGTTCGACATTCTAACCACGAGAAGAAGGCCGAAGTGTACAACGGCCGAAACGTTGTAATAGATATGGCAACAAAGATAAGGACAATAGTCCGAATAATGTAAATAGTGTAGATTTTTACCAGCAATGCATTTTGGGAAAGAATATTGTATATTTTTGGAAAGATGAATTGACAGCAGTGCATTTTTGAAAACAAAAATGTTACCAGCCCTAAAAATCTTGTCGGCATAAATAACCCATTGAGGTTGATATACCGTAAAACAAAGCAAACCAAACACAAAGCAATATAACCGGCATCAATTTAAACTACACCTTCGAAGTGATTTCTGAAACAATGACTTCACGACCGCGCAACTGGGTGGATACTTTCCGAATAGATTTATATAATCATTAAGTCATTCGAAAAGTTAAATTGCCCCATGCTGATTTATACCTTTGTTCATCAAATTTTTCCGTTCCTTAATTCCGTAAAATCCACCGCAAGTGTCAGTAGTAATTTAATATATCTTAAATTTACCATAATCCAAAAGAGCAATTATAAATTCCTTCTGAGTCGGAAACCCTACTATCTGGTGGCTTGTGTTGGGGCTACGCGAGTCGGGGTGGGGGTCCTAAATTGTCATGGTCACCTGACCATGTACGTTAAATGTTAAAGGTAATTTTATAAAAATTAACGTCGTGCCTAGAGAATATGTCCGTTATAAACTAATATCAAAATTCAATTTGGTATCTCTGGAGATGAAAACATTAATAACACATCGGTCGACAGAGAACAGCAGGCGCTAATCATTTCAACACTTTTGATGATAGACTTGTGTGAGAATATATGCAAAACAACGATAATCCGTAAACAGATAATCCATAAACGGATAATCAGGTAGCAAGAGAAATTTTACTCTTTTTACATACAGTGACAATTAAAAACAAACTTCAAAATCATCATAATCTCCCGAAACGAAAGAGTAAGATTATCAGAGTAAAATTCATTAACTGCTTCAAAATTTCTAAACGTATATATATATATATATATATATATATATATATATATATATATATATATATATATATATATTGAGCACTATTTTGTAAAAAATAAAATATCTATAAGAACACCGGATTATGTATCTTGCTGTTCTTTTTCTTTTATTTATATATATATATATATATATATATATATATATATATATATATATATATATATATGTATGTATGTATGTATGTATGTATGTATGTATTTATGACGCCCATGGCTAAGATACAAAGACAAGCTGAAGAGCAACTTGTTAGCTGTCAATATACCATATAACACCCTTGAGCGCTTAGCCTTGGAGCGGGTGAACGAAGAATGGAGATCAACGTGTTTTTACGAGACTCAGCATTTTCAATTTGCTTGTATGAATCATCTAAAAGAAGCGAGAACAAGATCTAAAAGGTCAGCCAATCTAACAGGGATCTCATCTCACAATCTTCCCTCTTGTGGCCTCCTTTGTAAATCACTTGCGGGTCTCAAGTGCCACTTAAGATTATCACACAAAAATTCCATAACTGAATCAATTACGCTGTCAGATCCTCATACGTCGAAACCGACAGGAGTGTCCATTATATATATATATATATATATATATATATATATATATATATATATATATATATATTTTTTATTTGATATTAAAACATGTTAAAAATCGCTACACAATGAGAAATTATGTTTCGACACTACAAATGTTCCTCCTTGACGACTCACTCGCCAGTAGTTTAACAACACATTTATAGTGTCGAAACAAAATTATAATCACTTCTATTATTTACACTATTCGGACTGTTATCCTCATCTACATTGGCATATTCAGTTTCGCCCGTTGTACGCTCCGGCCTTCTTCGAATACAAAAAAAAATGGTTGCTGAGACAGTAGGTTTATAAGTCCCAGAAATTCATACACAGTTGTCCTCAAGGACATATGGCCAAGTGGTTAAAGACGTTGGTTAGTGACTAGATACAAAGAGCTGTAAGTTCAATACCAGTAATCGTAGTGGTGAACCAAAAGACTGGGAGAGTTGTGTTAAAGGGAAATAAATTTGACACCCGGAAGAAGCTTTGAACTCGAAAAATTCCTATCACCTGAAGAATAATGTAAATAATACAAGTAATCATAATACCTCATCTCAGAGATATAGACAGATAATTGTAATCGTGTAGCGATTTTTAACCTGTTTTAATATTCTAAAATAAATAATAATTAGCTCTACTCTGTATTGAGCCCTCTTTGAAATTAAATGTTACGTACAGTGGCATTATACTCCATTTGTTCCCATTTTACCTTTTTTAAGCGCTTCACACCCAAGCAAGCCACTAGCACGCAAGGGGTTACAGAGAGTTGGAGCGAGAGCAAATAGAAGTGATAGAGGAAAGGATGAAGAGAAGGATAATGGAATAGATCAAGACATCTGGGGATGTCGATTGACATTACATTTGAATAATTGGAGATTACAGCTATCAGGGAAACAGGGAAAGGGGAGGGAGTTCCACAGGCGAGAGGTGCGAGACATGAAGCTATTGAAGTAAAAGAGACGGCTAAATTTAACAGTTTCGACAGTGAAAGGGTGAGAACGAGAAGCCATCCTGGTTGAACGGTTAAATTCATGAAGTCTGGGAACCAGCGAAAGTAGCTCATCGGAGCAGTTACCGTGAAAGTATTTGTAAAAAAGACAGAGGGAGGCAACGGCACGTCTTTGAGAGAGCGACTGCAGAAGAGATGCCAGATCAGGACCTATCACATTGCATATATATATATATATATATATATACATACACCATTTCTTCTCATTTTATCTATATATATATATACACACCACTTGTTCTCGTTTTACCTATATAAATATATATATATATATATACACACACTCCATTTGTTCTCATTTTACCTATATATATATATATGTGAAAAGTGTATATAAATATAAATAAATATATATATGTATAATTATTTATATATTATATGCGCGGTACTTATTAGAAAGCGCTCAATATCAGAGATAGAGCTAACATATTTGGTTGGATAGATGTGAGTTTGTGACCCTGGGTTTCACGCTTTAGCGGTTTGTCTGACGATCGCTAAAGCGTGAAACCCAGGGTCACAAACTCACATCTATCCAATATATATATATATATATATATAGATAAATATATATATATATATATATATATGTGTGTGTGTGTGTGTGTGTGTGTGTGTGTGTGTGTGTGTGTGTGTGTGTATTTATATGTACAGTTGATTTTGCTTCTCTCATTTCCTCCCCATGTGTCTCAATTAGCATATCACTAAAGTTTAACATATTCTTTAGATTATAAATCTAAGGAAATTTTAAATAATTCGAAATATGAAATGTCCTAAATAATTCTATAAATTACACCCAGTGATGCCTTAACCAAAGAAAAAAAAAATCAGATATGGCCAAAATATCAGGAACTATTTTCATTTTCGTCAAAGTTTATCACTCTGACATTGGGTTTTTTGACTTTCTGAGAATGATTTATACAAAAGGCATAAAAAATAGAAGATTCTGACAATATACCCGATTTCCTTCGTGGATTTATTGATGTGTTTATTGTTCTATGGAAGGTGGGGCTTGAAGTAATTTACAATGAATATCATTTAAATAAGTCTTTCGGAATGTTATCGTCTGAGCGTAGAATTTTTTCTTTCTTTCATTTTATTTTGTTTACTGTTTGGCGCATGCGTTAGTTTACCCAGCGTTTGTATCGGATTTATTTATTCAGATACTTTTATTTATATTTGGTTATTTGTTTTAAACTTTTTATGTATATTATAGCAGGATTTTTTTTTGTTTTGTAAATGATGAAGACGTATTTACATTTTTCTTGTCTTCATCTATTTTATTTATATATTTCAGTGTTTTTCCAATCCACACATGTCCCCTCCTACTCCTACTCCTCCTCCTTTTTCTTCTTCTTCCTTTTCTTCTTCTTTTTCTTCTTCTTCTTCTTCTCCTCCTCCTCCTCCTTCTTCTTCTTCTTCTTCTTCTTCTTCTCACACCAGTTCTTCTCCGATCACCGAACTTAAGCATCGCCGAGCCTGATCAGTACCAAGATGGGTGACCGCTTGGGAATACCAAGTACTGTAAGCGGACGGTGAAAGCGATAACAGCTCGGAATTTAAAATCGGAAAATCGAGTTCTAATTCCAGTTGGGTTCATTATATTCACTTACGCGAAAATACCCTTGGGAAAAGGTTTGAATCTACCTCTTCTCTCCCCAGATATGGGTTAATTAGTAGGACTTGCATCAATGAATTATTATCATCTCCAAAAACAAATCTTACACTCTAAAAAATATTTTCTGGCTTTAAATAACCGGCAAAGGGTTGATAAACCGTAAAAAACGAATCAATCCATCAATAAAACCATGTATCTAAAGTCATTCAAGATAGTGGTTTCCTGAATAGGTTGTTTGATAAGAATGGAAGAGTAAGAAGTGATGATGATAACGATATGGAGGATATGTCACGGTTGAACCATGTCTTGAAGAGGTTAAGATTGTAGTGACAGCGGAAGCATTCACGAGGGAGTCTGTTGCACAAAGCAGCGGTTCTTGGGAAAAGGCTGTGCGACTAGGATGTCCTTCCTTCTCACTCGCTTGACTTTTCTGTAGAACTTGTATCAGTAAATTATTATTATCTATGAAAACTTTATGCAATCTAAAAATATTTTCTGGCTTTAAATAAAGGGTTGATAAGCCGTAAAAAACAAACTGCTGTAACCTAGAAAATGTTAGTGAATGAGGAATAATCAAAACGGAGGTTGGAAATGTAATGGTAATCTTTATAACATCAGCCAAATACAATACTCGCTAGCGGCGTGATGTAGGTAAACCACTGCTAGTGAGGGACTACTTAACATATTACCCACACTTACAATAGTGTCTAACGTATTTATGAGGATTGGGACATACCCGTTAGTGTTCATAGTTACGGTATATAACAGTGTCAGAAAGAAAGAAAGAAAGAAAGAAAGAAAGAAAGAAAGAATGGGTGTGAAAAAGAAAGAAAGAAAGAAAGAAAGAAAGAAAGAAAGAAAGAAAGAAAGAAAGAAAAGAAAAAAAATGGGTGTAAGAAAGAAAGAAAGAAAGAAAGAAAGAAAGAAAGAAAGAAAGAAACGGTTGTCTGTTGTAATCTAGGAAGGTTTACTGAATGAGGAATTACCAAAACGGAGGTTGGAAATGAAATGGTAATCTTTATAACATCAACAAAATACAATACTCGCCAGCGGCGTGAAGTGGGTAAACCACTGCTAGTGGGGGACTACTTAGACATCATATTAGTCCCACTTACAATAGTATCCAACGTCTTTATGAGGATTACAACAAAACCATTAGTATTCATAGGTATGGTATATAACACAAACCATACCAATATTCTTCTTTTTCCCATATATTACTGTCTGTCCATATCGAGTTAGCTCCACAACGTTCTTGTCGAAGTCATTACCGATCTTTTTTTCTGAATATCTTTCTCTGGCAATTTTTCGATATGTCACCATTTTCTTCTTCTCGTTCTCTTTCTCTCTCTCTCTCTCTCTCTCTCTCTCTTTCGCGCGAGCGCTCGCTCTCTTTCTCTGTCTGTCTGTCTGTCTGTCTCTCTCTCTCTCTCTCTCTCTCTCTCTTCACGTCTTAATTTTTCTCTATATACCTCTTTATGTTTTTATTTTCTCTCAACCTCGCTCAGTCTCTCTCTTCATTTCCCTTTTCTCCCTTTCTCACTTTAGTCTTTCTCTTTCTTCCATTCTCTGTTCGTCTCCACCTCTCTCTCTCTCTCTCTCTTTCTCTCTTCCTCAGTGTCTGAATGATCTTTTTACTTTTCTCATTTTTATTACTTTTTTTTCTTTTATCCTTTTCATAGAAGTCCTTGAGAATAATTGCCTATTTTAATCTCTGCAACCGTCTTTGTCTTGAGATAAGCATTCCTTTTTAGTGTCGGCTGTCCGAATTGTCATCACAGATAAAAAAAAAATATGACTGGAACTTCCGGAATCTTTGACTGGGAAATGACCTGCCGCTTATTGACCTTTGTTTTGTTTTGTTTTTTAGAGACCAGGGTGCATTTTTGTTTTGTCTTGAAAAAGTCTCTTAGATTAACATCGCCACCTTCAATTCCATTACCTGGGAAATGGTTAGGGTCATGGTAAGCTTTCACTGACCAGTGTATTGGGATACTTTTATGTGCCTTTCCCGCAAGGAAGAAATATATACATATACATATGCAAACACATATACGCTCATAAACTCACAGCCACAAAAATGGTTGGTATTTTCCCCAGAAAACGATGATCACAGAAACTCTATCTTATAGTAAACTTTCTCTAACCTGCACGTAGTTCAAACGCCAGATTATACGCTCTCTCCCATAAACTGTAACTAATGCCCGCTCAGCATGTAGTATAAAGCACATTTTGGCTCTCGGTTATCGAAAAAACAGGAAATATGCCTGAGCAAGTCGTCTGCAACAGGGATTATCTAGTCACCTTAGCAAACAGACATACTTGAAAACGAGTGACCAGTCATATATCTAGTCTGGTAAAAAGCTAATAAAATAGAACTTTCAACCGGACCTAGATTACACCGATCGCATCGCCTGTAGAGTATTAAGAACTCCAAAGGAACCACCACCATGCTGGATACTTGCAAACCTTTCAAATGTTTAACTATGTGTAGAGTTGCAGCTCAGACCAGGTCCATTTTCAGAGTGCGGGTTTTCCACTCAAAGGCTTGTGGCTTAAAAATAGCTCTACCACCAGAAAGTTACCGACGAAATAAAACCATGAACCGATTGTAGCATTATCAAATTTGATTCGGTTGTAACCTTATGTTGCAGACGAGCAAGGCAGAGATGAAGCGGAGGTTTGGGTGTCGAACAGTTTAACGAGCGTGCTTTCCTTTTCGCGTCGCAGCGACCGGTCCCTCGTCCCTTTCTGACCGTTCTCTGTGTACCCCTCCGTTTTCGGTGCTAGTAACCACTGTCTTATACAGACTGTGTTCTTTGACTTGTCACCTTTATCTAACAAGAAAGTAATTTATCATCAGTTAAAGTTCTGGCTTCACTGAGCGACCTACTTTGTCAGCATCGTTCGACATGTTTCTTGTCATGTCCACTTCACTTAGCTGACAATCATCAGGACAATAACTTTCTGAAACAATTTCAGTAAGATCTTTCAAATGTTTACCAGAATATCCACTGACACTAATAACGCTACATATAGGCGCAAGTATAAAACCAAAGTACTCGTGTATAATATCGTAACAGGGAGTTGGTTGTATGTGGTGCTGTAAGCACCAGGAGTTGCGTCTTCTTCCATAATGGGCTGTTGAGAGAAGACCTTCTACTAGGTAGCGCTAACTATTTGCATATGAACGATAGTGGGTAGGTATTAGCCAATAGTCAGCGTGGGTCTGTGACTGGTAGAGCTTTTAACACCAGTTCTTTTCTCAGTCAAGAGAAGCGCTCTCGACGTAGAGAAGCTCTGCTTGTCGGCTCTCTGCCTCCGGGCGGAGATGAACCCAGACAAGGCTACGCCGTAGAGCATAGTCTCGTCTAGGGAGGTGCCCGATGCCGTGTATTTTTGCCCGAGCTCACGGGCTAGGATTCCCCCACATGAAAATTGGCCTTGTCGGGAGGTGGGTAAATACCAAAGCGCTCTCAACGTGCTGAAGTTCGAAAACCAGACCAAAAAAGACGAACACAAATATAATTTTTTCTTATAGGTGAACGTATATGGCTGGACAATGTTAACCGTAGAATCAAGTATAAACACGCCCAATGTTTGCCGATAAAGGCGATTACAGATACGACAAATGCTTACCTATAGTTTCTAGTATAAACATGGATAATGATTGACCATGAACGCGTGTAAAAGAATGATTATTTTTTGCCTATAGAATCAAGTATAGCCTAACCAAATTTTCCTTGAGATTCAAGTATAAAAACATACAATGTTTTACTATAAACTCAATATTTGCCTATAATCTTAAGTAAAAAATTGACCTATGATTACTTATAAACACAAGAAACCAAAACACGTCTCGTCATGTAAAACTACAACAATTAGGCAAAATCTGTTCTTTTCAGGGAAAATATGTTTCTAAGCCGTACAACTAAAAATTTCAAAGAAATTACACATCTGCAAAGTGTAACAGAGAATCGAGTCATCCCGATAAATGACTTCGGGCTTTAATCGGAAATATGATCCCGTTCTCCTATGGCTGCTAACACATTTTATAGGGCTAACCCGATTCTTTGTTACACTCCCCACTGATCTCCAGATCACAGCCTCTACCCTACATGAGATCAATGCTCTGCCGCAAGCGACACCGATGATTCACCTACGAGCGATGGGGAGTTGGAAATAGATTTCCCGGATTTTCGATGCGCCTCCTGCCGCTGTGGGGAGGGATAGCGACAACACTGAGGATGAAGTACCTCCCCCACGTAGTGACAACAATGGGGACGAAGTACCACCCATGCAAAGAAGCACCATGAGGAAACGCCCGGAAATCAGGTGTGGGGTGTAACAGAGAATCGTGTCAGCCGGTTAGAAGACTTCGAGCGCTAATTGCGAGTACAAAGAAATTGACTTTGAGGCGAGAACAAACTGCAAATTGAACATGTTTACGCCATTTTAGATCAAGAAATTAGGCAAATGTTCATTAAATCTTCTACCAAAGGTTTGCTTCCTTTCATTTTCACCTTGGTCCAAAAAACTACAAGAGAAGACCGAGATCTAACACATTCAATCTCTCTCACCCTCTCTCTCTCTCTCTCTTGCTCTCTCTCTATCTCTTTCTTTCTCGATGCTTTTCTGACTCTTTCTCTCTCTTTCTCTTTCTCTCTCTCTCTCTCTCTCTTTCTCGTTACATATCACTTTCTGGCTCTCTCTTTCCGTCTCTCCCTTTCCGTCTCGTTCTCTCTCTCTCTCTCTCTCTCTCTCTCTTTTTCTCGCGAGCGCGCTATTTTTCTCTTTCTCTCATTCTCTTCCTCTTCCTGTCTATTTCATTGTTTCTCTCTTTTTCTCTTTCTGTCTCTCTTTGTCTATGTTTCTATTCTTTCTCACTTTCTCTCTCTCTCTCTCATTACCTGTCTCTTTCTGTCTCCGTATCTCTTTCTGTCTCTCTCTCTCTCCTCTTTCTCTTAATCTCTTCCTTTTTTTTTCTATTTCTTTCTTTCTCTCTTTTTTTATATTTCTGTCTCTCTTTCCCTCTGTTTCTCTTTTCTCTCCCCCAGCCTTTCTCTCTCTCTCTTTCTCTCTCCCTTGTTACCTGTCTCTTTCTGTTTCCGTGTCTCTTTCTATCTTTCTCTTTCTGCCTCTCTCTCTCCTCCCCCTCTCTCTCTCTCTGTCACACACACACACACATACACACACACACTATTTCTCTTTCTGTCATTCTCTTCCTCTGTCTTTTTCTATTTCTTTGTTTCTCTCTTTTTCTCTTTCTGTCTCTTTATATCGCCGTCTCTCTTTACGTCCCTCCCATCTTTCTTTTTCTGTACGATGTCTTTTCAGGACGTGGGTGATCATGCTTCTCTACACGTTCATTGATTTCATTGCGCTAATGCTACGTCCCCCAAAAAATAATATAGCAAAATTTCCTCCATTTAATTGATAAACACTTCCCCGAAATGAAAGGAATCCTTTCATTTGGTTGTTGGAATTGTTACCTGATGATCCGGAGTCCTTTAAAAAGGATTTTGGTGAAATAAATTATTGTAATGGTACCTTAAAGTGGTCTGTTTTTCATTAAATATATATATATATATATATATATATATATATATAAACATCAATAAACCTTTTTCCTTCAATTCTGAAATATTGTCAAATATTCCATTCAGATTTCTTCTTCCTGCCTGCCTTCTTTTCTCACTCTTTGCCGCGTCTTGTGGGGGTTGCCTTGGCATGCCAAGCTGATCGTGAGACGTACCTACCCAGCTTCCTCCAGATATCCTGGTTGAAGGCCGGGGAGGTATTCATTCATGCCAACAGCGTCTTGAGCAAATGGAACTGGCGGAGATCATCTCTCCCCCAGTTCAAATCACACCCGATGTCCTCCAATTTGAAGGCTTGGTCACTTAGCCATGGATCCATCTGCATAACACAGATGGTTTCTTTTTCTATTTGCCGCATTCTTTCAACATGTAAGCGATCATGGCTCTCCGCAACTTCCTGTCCTACGTAGATCTTAATAATTTTTTTTGTCTCTTAAATCTTGTTCCACCATCGATTTACTCAAGATTCTTCCTTTTTTTTTTTTTTTTTTACTTTTTTACAGTCGAAAATTTTTTTCATGTCGTCGTTATTGTTTTAAATAATTTCTGAAATAATTCCATTTTTTTTTTTAAGATACTGACAGTCAGCTTTTTCAGGACAACATGAACCTCATCAGATTGCTTAACCTTCGCAGTTTCAATGACTTGGTGCGAGAACAAGGCTACACCAAAAGAGGTATCGGGGCTTGCATCAACCGCTGTCTCAGACTCGGGCAACTCAACTTTATTCGTTGCAAAGTTATGTGCGAATGGTGAGTAATACGGCCTTGAGTCGTAGTCAACTGCTAAGATCACACGGCCTTGGATGGCCGTGTGATCTCAGCAGATCAGACATAAAACGTTTCAGTTCCATTCCAATCGATGATTTATATTAACCTTTTACATTTTCAGTAAAATTATCGCCAGCATTTTCTTTTTATATCATTTACATTAATTCCTGTCCACAATTGTTGTAGCATACCTACGGACGATAATGGATATGTCCCCATTAATATAAATATAGTAGTAAATACTGTATGTTGGTCTGCAGTCGGAGATTCGTCTCTAGGTGTGCTAGTAGAACTCTCTGTCTCCGGACAGAGGGAATTTCCAGACGATACTCTGGCCTTCGACATAGCCTCGGCTCGGGAATCAGCTACCCGATCCCGTTTTATACGGGATCTACGCGGAATTTTTGGATACCCCATGTTAGATTCGGCCTTGTGCCACATCTGACCTCCTGAGGCAGTTGGTAGATAGCCTCCAGTTGAAGATTAGTCTCCAGCTGTGTTAGTCAAACTCTCTGCTTCCGGGCAGAAAGGATCCCCACCCAGACAAGTCTATGTCAAAGGGCAGAGTCTCGTCTCGGGAAACGCGGTCTACGGGGAATTTTTGGCCGAGCATTAAATTCGGCCTTGTGCCACATCTGACCGCATGAGGATGTTGGTAGATATCATGCAGCTGGAGATTCATTGTGGAATTCACTTGACTCACTTCTAACAGTTGACTACGTCTTCTACGCGCCGCTTGCGAATCTTATATGTTGTTCTTGTCCTAAGTATTATCATTCATTACCAACCTTAGTGTGATTATTCTATTCAGTAACCTTCCCTAGGTTACAACAACTGTCAATCAGTTTTTTGTCCTGTTTTCCAATACATTTGTATAATGAAAACATTAATAACACTTTAATTTAGTGCAGACCACTTCAAGTCATCTTATTCTTAGTAAAAGCTTTTGCTATACATTATATAATAAAATTCGCGAGCAATACGTATTTCATTTTTATACAGGGTGTATCAAAAATTATTTTACATAATTTGGGGATGGCTTCCTCCCACCAAAACAAGGACAAAAGTCTATATAAAGATATATCCGCAAATCGTTTGTTTTTGAATTGTTAAGTTTAAAGATTTACGGTAGACGCTGTTAAATGTACAATCAAGGATACAATCCGATATTTGTATAAACTTCAAAAAGAAGGAACAGTAATGATGATGATCCCTCTTCCTATTGTGACCTCCTAATTCAGAGGTCACAACAAGAAGAGGGATCATCATTTCACCTTAGAGCTAAAGAGCTAAAGGGGCCGAGTTCCTGACACATTAAACGTTGAAGACGGACGAGCTACAAATGTACACGAATGGCAAATGTAACATAGTCTACATAGAAACACAGCGCCATCGATGGTATTCCATTAGTAAGGAGGAAGTTCCACTCGGGCAGCTTCTTCCCAACAACTACTGATTTGTGGAACAGACGCCCGGCAGGATGTTTTCCCAATCATTACAATCTTCACCTCTTCAAGTCTAGGGTTAACCGTTATCTTTCCTACATAAACCCATGAACTTCACTTCTTGACTTTTATTCGCTTGTTACTGCGCAATAACTCTCTACTTAGAGTGGCTCTTGGGCCTTCTATTTGGTGAACATTAGTATAAAAAATATATTCAATTTGTTAAAACAGAAACAAGCCTATCTGTGAAAATTAGCCGGCTTGGTAAACATCTGTTACCCTTCTTTTTTTTTTTTTTTTTTTTTTTCAAAACCGTAACACTTTTTTTTTTTTTTGAAAAGTTAGCTGATTTTTTTTATATCAGAGTTTCTCCTTCTTCTAGGTCAGTTGCCAACAAGGCTATAGGACACAGTGCGTCCTGCTTTTTATCCATAGCTGAAGTGAAAATAATGAACTTGAGTGGAATTCGAACTCGGCACTACTAATTCTTCAAACCGAGTCGCTATCCACTACCGAAATACAAAAAAAGACCTACCAGTTCAACAATAAAAGTCAATACTATTAATATATATATAACAAATTATTATACTCAATACGAAAAGTACTTTTATTTGTTACATTGTATTTGAAAGGTATTTGAATGCTGACAATATGCCACATGATCATATTCTTTGACGAAATTATGGCAACAGAATTTTCAGAAAAAAAAATCTTTTAAAGACTATAAGAAAACACGCTTTAACTGTTATTTACAATTGAGAAAAAAATAGTAAAATATTATATAATGACACTCAAAAGTCTTTTAACATATTATGCCACAAAATCTATATACCGAGTGTAACAGCAAAATTGTCCAATTGTTAGATTTAGGTCTGAAACGTTGTATCTTAGAAATAATTAAAGATATCTTACTGAAATTCTCCGAATTTTTTATAACACTATTGGACTGTGCTTTGAGCAATAAGAATTTATAATTACTCTCTACGCTTAACAGAAGAATCGTGATGAAATCGATCATAAACGAAAATGACATGTTCATCATTAATTAATCATAGCTAAGGATCGGAAACTCACGAAATATTGAAATAATGTTCAATTATATATTTATTATTCCAGGACCATTTTCCAACTTATTCAAGATGAACCGCGACCTCTCTAATCTTTTAACTTTTTGTCCTGGAGTAACAAGGTACCTCACTCGTTTCACGAACGATTTCATTTTCAAGTTTTTTTTTTGTTTTTTTTTGCTGCATTTGGACTGTCATAGCTGAAACTCCTCTCTCACGTTCCAAACATCTTATGAATTGAGTTGGATCTTTTCGAATATATCTCTTTAGCTCTAAGGTGAAATGATGATCCCTCTTCCTGTTGTGACCTCCTGATTCAGTTTTCCCCTCTACTGTTCCCTCTTTTTTTAAAACTTATTCACCGTTCTCTTGATGGTTCTTGAATGGACTTTGAAAACGGAAGCTAGAGTATGAATGTTTGTGCCATTACTGAAGGCCCGAATGATCTTTTTCCTCTCACCATTGCTCACTTGGAAAGTCAGTAGGTCTAAAAAAAAACAATTTTAAACTGCTCTCGTTTTTAACCGAATAACTCATAGGATTTCTCAGCGAATCCTACGACAAATGGTGTCAAGTTGGCTAAACGTCTTATCTGAAACTTGGGAAAAAGAAACTCAATTAGTAAAGTGATATTTTTTAGATATTAAACATTTTGTAAGATGGATAATTATCCTGTTACACGGTTTGGACAATTTTGTTGTTACACACATTATATATGTCAAAATGAAGACACGAGAATAAATTTTTACTACATCGTTTAAAACCGAAATATAAAAACGAATATCTTGTAAAATATCCCTATGAAAACTGCTTTAGATACAATAAAAACTATGTATTATACAAGAAGGAGCGTTCGGTAGGCAAGGTCGAATTTACTGCTTATAAACTTCAATCTTGCATGAATCTCGTACATTCATAACCTTGCCTACCGAATGCTCCTTTGTGGCCGAGTCGGTTAAGGCACGTCAGCGTAAATGACGGTTCCCTATAGGATGCAGGTTCGAATCATGTCAAAGGACGAATATTTTCTATGAAAATTTCTCGGACATTCAGGCCGGTAAATGTTATTTAATACTGTTTATTATAAACAGAGCATTATACTTGTATCTATAAAAAAAAAAAGAACGTTAAACATAAAAATGTCTTTAATAAATAAATTGTCGGACTTTGTCCATTTCTTAATATATACATATACATATAAATATACATATAAATTCACAAATGTAAATATATAAATAAATAAAGACATAAATATATAAAGAAATAAATATGTAAATAATATATAAAGTTTATATGAACAAATTATATAAATAATAAACAAATTAACTAACTACGAATGTAGACATAAACTCAAGTAAATTTAGTATTAATCAACAACAAATAATTAAGTAATAAATAATGAGTAAAAGTTAAGAAACTACACCACAAAATAGCTACTAATAACCGCATTCACAATTATTCCTTTTCAATAATCTCTAGAATAATTTATGTATGTATATGCGGATGTTGACAATACATACATAAATGTATGTATGTGTACATACACATGTATATGTGTCTCCTCGTGTCTCCCGTATATGGGTGTGCGTCCGTGTGTGTGAGCGATTTGATCATTGTGTTTGGTCGCCCTGTGTGCATGTTGTGTGTTTTTTGTGTGTGGGGTTGCGATCTATTTAGTTCGGGTTTGAATTTGTCTATAAAGACAGTCGCGAGACCAGAAACACGTGTCGTAAAATTATGTAAAACAAAGCATAATATTTTTTCTAAATAGATCCACATTACAATCAAAAACGTTTGCGGCACCTCTCTTCTTTTTAATATACATACTTTTCTCTCGTTGGAACCACTACAACATATTTCTTTTAAATATATATATATATATATATATATATATATATATATATATATATATAGAGAGAGAGAGAGAGAGAGAGAGAGAGAGAGAAAGTGAAAGAGAGAGGGGAGAGAGAGAGAGAACACACCACTGAAAAATCAGCAATTTTGGCTTCAAAAACTATTCCAAAATTGAAGATGAAACAGAACTAATGCTTTTAATTTGATTATATGATTAAATTTGAAGTTTTTAGCTTCAGTTTTTGAAAAATGGTAATTCCTGTGTAGCGAAGAAACCATATTTTAAATCAGTTAATTTATAATATTTATGCTCTGTAAATTTACATAGAGCACGGTTTTTGCAATTTACATTGAGCAATGTATTTGCACTTATTCTGACAAAAAAAATTAAGCACTTAACTATAAATGATACGATTGCAGCATAATTTGTTTTCGTCAATAAAACCGCCACCTGCCTTAATTATGCCTTTAAACTTGTTCTAGATTATACTCATACACTTCGTAGGCAGCCATCATTTTATATATATAATTTCTACTAAATTAATGGATTATTTGTAATCTGGCATTATATATATATATATATATATATATATATATATATATATATATATATATATATATATATTGGATTATTTGTATCTGGCATTATATATATATATATATATATATATACGATAATAAGTCAAGAAAATTTTTAAAAATACATCTCTGTTATAATTTATTTCCCAAATAAATTTATATATTCAACTTTTATATTTAAAGTTTTTTTTAGAAATGGAATCAATCTGTCCAGACAGAGAGAAAAAAGGAAGAAATGAAAAAAAGAAAAAGAAAGAATTTTTTTATAAAAATGAAAAAAAGAAAAAGAAAGAATTTTTTTATAAAAAAAATTCTTTCTTTTTCTTTTTTTCATTTCTTCCTTTTTTCTCCCTGTCTGGACAGATTGATTCCATTTCTAAAAAAAAATAATAAAAACGAAGGCACAAAAATAAAAATCTCAATACTGTTTTTTTTTTTTTTCAAATGTACGGAAGGGAGAAAGAGACAGAGAGAAGGAAAGGGAGAGAGAGGGGAAGAGAGGAAGAGAGAATGAAAGAATAGAAAGTAAAGAGGGAAGAAATAAATTATGAGCCAAATTATGAGATAGATTTTTAAAGATTTTCTTGAATTATTATTTGTTACTTACATTATGCTCACTTTGGATTAATGTCCTCCTTGGAATTTTCCCTACCAATTACCAATTGGTATTTTACACAAACACACACACACACACACACACACATATATATATATATATGCGATGGCCGGTAATTGGTTTCCGATCACCCTTGTTTACTAAGGAGACTAACCAATCCCTACTGCAGACATCGTTAACACCGGTCGCAGCTGTAGTTTATACGTACTTATACTGAGTGGACCTTAATTACAATTTCTGGGTAAAAGTGAATTTTTGGTCGTAATCAGCAGCTTCAACAAGGCCGGTACGCTCCAACAACGAGTTGTGCTATCATTAAGGAACAAAATGTATATTTATTATTATTAATAGTCTTTTGGTCTGTTATTATGCATCACCAGCACTTCATATGCCATAGCTTATATATATATACATCGGGTCCCGCAAGCCTTCTTTGTGCAAACAACGTGAGTGTTTGCTGGGACTCGCTGTCATCTGCCTCTAGTTCCTTCTTGCATATATACAGGTATATATGTACATATATGTATTTTTTTCCACCTATTCTGATTGTACCTTCTCTGTTTTAATTTTGAATCTCCCGTGGAAGCCTGAAGAGCGGGAGCGAAACCGGTTGCTTCCCCCCCCTTGTTGTTGAGTTTTTTTTTATTATTTAACATTGTTTTAATATGTCTTGTAATATTAAATTTTACACTTTTATTTCGATCATTAAATTTTGTACTTACAAAAATATCTTTAAATATATATATATATATATTATAAGTATTTTCTTTTTAAAAAAAAATATTTCTATGTTTCAAAACTGAAACTAAAATTGTAAATTTAATTATAAAAATTAAGTTTAAAATCCAGAGTTTAATTCCATTGTCAAGCGATTAACTTTCTAAAAACTTTACTTTATTTATAAGCGCAGATAATCTTAATATTTTTAGTTGTTAAAGTTAAGGAAAATTCATCTATTTTGATTCGGGGTGGTTGGGTTTTAATATCCCTTGACAGCTTATATATCAAAAATATTTTACTTACAAAGTCAGGTTAAATTTAGGTGACTGCTCATCGCTGTGTTGCGATAGAATCATATTTTTAAAAAAGAAAATAATTAGAATAATATGCGCTACTGTTTGTAACGAGTACTGTTTTTTTTAAATAAAAAATAATTGCTAATATTTTTTTGATTCGCCTTGCTAAAATTGGGGTGCGTCTTATACACCCGTGTGTCTTATATGCAGTCAAATACGTTACTTATTTTAATTCTTATTCTTACTGCTGATTTTTTAAAATATTTTTATTTATTTATTTATTTATTTTCGCTCGCAGACCCTGATCTTTGATGGCTTCGAGACAGAAACCCAAACATGGAGTTGACACAATTTGACGACATTCCACGCTCTTATGATGATAATACCGACTTACCCGGTGTTATTTCGACAAACAGGAAACAAATATCTCACTAAAAATGAAGAAGAAAAGAAGAAAAGAAAAAGCATCCAAGAAAAAGAAAATAATAATTACAGAGAAAACAAAAAAAAAATAAATAAAAAGGCATGAACAGCTAGAAAACCGCCACCCGCTCCCTTCATCCCTCCACCGCTATATCCCCGACCCCCGCACACACACACTTTTATCTGGACACTCTACCACGTCCCTTCATCATCAGAATGGTTATGGTCCCTTAACAACTAGGCACACTCACACGCTTACACACACGCACACACACACGCACACTCACAAGCTTACACACACACACACATATAAACAAGCAGTGATATACCAACAAAAAACTAGAAAAAGAAGCATAAGAACTGCTTACGTATCTAACTTATTAACAATGGAATTAATTAATGATTATGAATTATATAAGATGTAAATAAATATATAATTATTGGAAATAAAATATTGAGATATCTTGAGTTTTATTTATTATGATCGAAATATAAACCTATGCTTTGTTATTGTGCTTCCGCCATATTGCAGATGGTCCCCAACATCCCATCGTTCGACTGACACAATTTCAATGTTCCGTTCATATTCTTCTTTTGCTCATTATTCTCAATAATCAACGAATGAAAGTTTCAATTAAATTTGTTCAATTTTAACATAATTTACTTATATTTAAATTTATAATCAACTGCATTTTAACATTGAAATTGTCTACTCCAGTCATGGGGAACATTTTTCGAACAGTGGGGCGAATGAAGACGGACCGAACTATTTTTCATTACAGCAGCCATTTTCCCAACAAAGGAGCATGCGCATAAGCATCTGCCTCAGAAATGAAGAAAAGTTGATTTTTTTTTTCTTTAGAGAGAACATTCCCTCTATAATTAAAGAAAAATAATTCCTGATATAAAAATCACTGGTGACAGAGGTAACACACGCTGGTGTGTGGAATTTGTTTCTAATTTATTCATTTGACGACGAAAAAAACATTGTTTAAAAGAAGTATATTTAATTTCTAGAGAAAAATAATTATCATTAACGTTTCCCGTTTCTGAAGCAAAAGGTGTTTACACTTATGATCTTCCTTAGTGAAAATCGCCAATGGTTTAAAATTTGACAACATTACTTTCAACGAAATATTACCAAATTTAAGACACGTTGTACCTAATCTTTGCTTATGTATGTGGTTATGCATCAGTAAACAAGTGAGAACGAAGGAAACAAACAACATTTTAGTAACGTTATTTACCTCATGAAATTAGGCAGAAAAATTCAGAATGCCAATCGGGGCGCATGTGGCCCGGGAGCCACAGTTTGCCCATGAATGGTCTAGTCCAGTTTCTACATGTTTTTCTACAAATGTATACACACATGTCAAATACAAAGAACTTATAATTATTTTTTTTTAATTTCAATACAGTGAACGTCTTCAGTTCTCCAAAAAGTTAGTTCGCTTATTAAGTAGACAATTTACTTAATAAACCGAGCGAAGGCTTTGGCCAAACCAATATAATTCATAAAAAATAATTTTTATGCCCTATTTCTCCCCAATTCTTCTTTTAGGGTCTTTTCTGTTAATTCACCAAATAACGTGAAGTTACTTATCGCAAATATTAATTCACCCAAGAAATTATTAAATTAAAATCAAAGTTTTTTTTATTATTATTTTTTATTCATTTTTTTGCACTCTTTTGAAATTGATGAATTTCAAATAAAAATTTGTTTAACTTGCCTCGCAAAAACTTCAACCCTCAAAATAAAATAAAAAAAATTCAAAAATCAAGAAGATATTCACATTTTGTAAGTGCGGATGTTATTCGAGATACTTACAAGGATTTTTTTTTACAAATTATAAAAAGAAAAAAATATCTGTGTTTGGCTTGTTTATCGGTGTGAGCGCGAACGCAGACACCACACTTAGAAATAGCGCAACCGAGTCTCTGACATTCGGGGCAACCGCAATTGAAGGGCTTTGCTCTGGGGGAATTTGGTGTGAATTTTAGTAAATATAAATTCTTTTTATTTTGGGCTGAATTAACAGAAAAGACCCTTTCTTTTAACTATACTGAGCTTATAAAAATGGATAAAACTGATATATAAGATTGAATATATATATATATATATATATATATATATATATATATATATATATATATATATATATATTATATATATATTTTTTTCATGCAACAAAAACAGACTATCATTATTGTTTCGTCCGTGTATTGTTTGATATATTGAAATGTAATTGTCATCTTTGATAATGGCTTATGTAAGCCGAAAGCTTAGATAGGATTTAAACATGTATCAGTATGGTGATTTCCTTTCGTCTTTCAATGATAATGTTATTAAGCTGATCAAACAATATGAAAGGAACTTACTTAAAATAAATAGATAAAACTTGTCTATATTTTTTAATGAAACATGCATTAATGAATATATATATATATATATATATATATATATATATATCTATATATATATATATATATATATATATATATATATATATATATATATATATATATATATATATAAATTGTGTATTTGGGTAGTAAATCATGCAAGTTTCATTGAAAACGGCTGACATGGTGCAGTGATTTTAAATAATTTCTCATTTGTGCGTATTTTTTTTTCTTTTCAGGACATAAATTATATAAAAATTGTCCGAATGTTTTCCAAGCACCTTCGACTATACTTTTAGCTATTATCAAAGATGAATTATATTTTTCTTTTAACTGAATATAGACGATATTTTTATTTTAATTTCAAAACTATATTCGAAAAAAATCTCTCTTTAACTTTACTTATGAACTAAGCCAAAAAAAACCTCCCATTCTAGTGGAGTCTAGTGATAATACATTAAACACTTCGTTATATAAACACCAACAAATAAAACTCTTGATATATAAAACAGGTGTTAATAAAATTTTTCTTATGAAAGCGCACGAGAATTTATCCTTTCGTCCACTTTTCTTTAAAGAACTTAATAACGTGATCTAAACCATCTTATGGAATACGATATTTTTTTTCTTTCTACGTTAACCAATAGCAACATTGAACACAGAGAAAAAACAATAATATTAACATTTTCTACAAAAAACAAATGCGTAGTAACAATAAGCAAATCGAATCTTCACTTAGAAACATCAGAAAGAAATACATAACTCCAGTTGACAAAAACAATTAAATTATTTATTAAATTTTTTTTAAAACTGCTAACTTCATTGTCAAAAATAATAATTCATCTGCAAGATCCAAATTACAGAGAACCAATATTATTTACTAAAAGACATCTCCCTTAAGGAGGTGTGTTCCTGACCAATGCAAATTTTTAAATAATTATATTGGATATGCGACAACATACCTAACAAGAAGACTCACGCTACATTTCTCTGACCATAGCTCAATTACGTCTCATTTAAATACATATAGAGACATACCAAACTCTATCCGTAACATAATCGTTCATAATACAAATATAATAGCATCGTCCATATGTACAAAAAGGTTATAAAAATAATGGGAGCATTATTAATAAAAAAAGAAAAAGCCAACTGTCAATAATATCAACAATGAACACGACCACTATGTGCTGACCGTGTTTGGAAAATAAAACATACCTATAACTCTAGATATATACATAAAACAATCCACATATTCAGTTAAAAGTAAAATAAAATTCATCCTTGTTAATGGTTAAAAGCATATCGCACAATTTTCATATAATCTATGTCCTGAAAAAAAAAGATTATTCAAACACATGAGAAATTATGTAAAATTCAGCCACTGCACCGTGCCAATCGTTTTAAATGAAATTTGCACATATATATATATGTGTGTGTCTGTGTGCGTGTGTGTTAAAGGGAACATTGAAGTCAACACTCAGAGGCGACAGGCCGTTTCATGCCAGACGCACCGTCTGACGAGGCGCCCTGACGAGGCGCCCTGACGAGGCGCCCTGACGAGGCGCCCTGACGAGGCGCCCTGACGATTGCGTCTAGCATGAAACAGCCTGTCGCCTCTGAGTGTTGACTTCAATGTTTACTTTTATATTCATATTTACACACGCTCTATCGCTGATATTGAGCACTTCATCCCATAAATATGGCACACCTTAAAACCATATATCTTCATATATATATATATATATATATATATATAAAAGTGAATATTGAAGTCAACACTTAGAGGCGACAGTCTGTTTCATGTTCGATGCAATCGTCAGGCCTGACGATTGCCTGACGATTGCGTCGAGTATGAAACAGCCTGTCGCCTCTGAGTGTTGACTTCAATGTTCTCTTTTATATTTAAACACGCTCTATCTCTGATATTGAGCACTTTATCTCATACATATAGCACACCTTAAGACTATATTTCTTCATATATATATATATAACCATTTCACCCCAAGCAAGGCGGGAGTGTCACTAACACGCAAGGCGTTACAGAAAGTAGGAGCAAGAATAAAGAGGCGTGATAAAGGAAAGGATGAAGAGAAGGACAGGGAATAGATCAAGGCATCTGGAGATGTTTATTGACATTGCAATTGAATATTTGAAAATTATAGCTATCAGGGGAGAAAAGAAAGAAGATATATATATATATATATATATATATATATATATATATATATATATATAGAGAGAGAGAGAGAGAGATAAATTAGGGTTTTGAATTCAGAATTTTCATTTTCCTATATCTATCGGTCTATAAGATAGAATACATATATATATATATATATATATATATATATATATATATATATATATATGACATTAAACGTAATCTTTAGCCGATACTCAGATTTGGGTAGACGCCCTGTTTGTTTATTATACAGTATATTCATTTATTTTCGTCTACCGGCCTGAAATATAGTGCTTAATAAACA